AGTTAAAAAAATTCTTTGTAAAACACTAGTCAGACGTTTACCTTATATTACGTAACATATTTCAAAAGAATGAGAGCATCCTGTTTACAGAGATACACATTTATTTTATTTCATGAATCAGTTAAAAAATCCACCCACGAACCTGACGTCGACAGGCGCTGAAAGTAGTCACTGGACTCTAATGCATATGCCTATCTATGTTTTTATTTCTCCCTGTAAATGGTTTTTTAAAAATCAGTGTCAATGTGTGTAGGTGGAAGGGGGGGGGGGGTATTCTTTTACTAGAAATGGAGTGTAAATCTTTAACAATTCCAGGCATTGTCATCAGTTACGTTCAATTCTTGTACCGCAAACTTAGCAATTTATTTAAGTTTTGTTCTTCAGCTTATCTGATAACAATTGGTACGCAGATATTTTACAAAGTATTCTTATGGAAAATGTGAAGTAAATTCATGAGTGTTTGATTTCAATGCCTCACTGGTTTGACCAAAATGAAAATGTCCTTTGTCTCTGGAATATGATTTTGAAGGCCTGTTTTAAGGGTTATGGTGCAGTACTGAGTGTCCCTAGAATCGATTGTTTCTTGTAATTCTCTTACTAGACAACCTTTCGTTTCGGTAACTTGGTAAAATCGAATATCATGTTCATATCAAAATGTCATATTTAACTAAACGTAGATTAAAAGTAAAGCATATTATGATCATTGCCGTTCGTCTGGCAACGTATGGCCTTGACCACTGCATCTGCAGTGGAGAATATTTCCTACGCTAAAGAGATAAGTTTACTTATGGCTTCGGCTTTGGCCGAATATACCAATTCTAACTTACAAATTTCATTTTCGTTCGTGGGTGTCCTCAGCTTGTGGCTTCAGCATTCTTTATTCGTGAAGTTTCATTTTAAGATTTGCCGCCCAAGTTGATCTGTCTGAAGCTAGATTCTCCCATGTCGAAGTAATTATTATGTTGAAGTCCTTGGGAGACGTTTTCAGGGCTCCTTGTTAGCGCATTTAGGTGCGACAACTTTACGGCGTCCACGAGGACAGCTCATAAGAGAATACTGCATAATATGGGATTCTGAAATCAGGCTTTCTTACCATATGGCCGGCCCAGAGAAGATGATTTTGCTGCCCTCTGTGCCTACTGCTCCCAAGCTGGGTCTGGGAGGAGCAATTTTAAGGCTCTCCCATGTCGAAGGATTTATGTTAAAGTCCTCCAAGGTCATTTTAGGGGGTCCTGTGGCGCTTTTATTTTGGTGCGCCAGCCTCATGCTTCCCTGAAGACAGTTCAGAAAAGAACACTGCTTTTGGAATTCTGAAATCAGCCATTCTTACGTGGCCAGCCAGGCGAAGTTTAGTACTTTTAACCTTATAAACCGCTCTCGGCATTTGTCCTTTTGAGAACTTCTGTGTCTGGCATTTAGTCCCTTTGAAGGCCATGAATTCCCCTGAGTTATTTCCTGTAGAGAGGATTAAGCTTCTTTGCATGGTTTTGGAACCTTAAGCAGGTCGGTCTTTGCACCGAACAACAGGGTTGGGAGGACCACAGCTTTGTAAACTCTCAGCTTTGTCTTTGTGCGAATGCCACAGCATTCTAAAACCTTTGCTCTGAATCTTCTGAATGGCTTTATTCATACGTTAAGTTTTTTCTTCGTCGAAACGGGCGCTTGAAGACAGTGTCCTTCCAAATATCGTTTGACGCTATCAACATTGTTCGTGTAAAATGTTATCCCTAGTAGTATTAGCTGTCAATGTTACTACAACTTCTGTAATAATTTGCTCTTCTTATCTATGACAAATCATTTTGATAGCCATATCTACCTATATATAATTGCGTACATATGGGTGGTTGTTTTCTGAAGCTGAAAAAACTACGGAACGTAGAACCATGAATAAATTACTGAATGTCGTTCAAAGACCAAGTTAAGTTTCTATCAATTCAGTAAGTGCTTGCATTCGCCTAAAAATGTTAGAAAAATAGAAAACGCAGTCGGCCGTTTACGACTTTCCCGTTCGTCATTTCAATGCATATGTTCAAGACATATTTCGTTTTCCATTATATAACCAAAAAATTTAAAAAATGCTCTTCTCCCGGAAATAAACAAATCTTCGGGGCCAACAGTTGAGATGTTGCGGATCGCTTACAGAGAGTTACTTTTCTGTGGTAGTTAGACTTAGAAGATGTATCTTTATGACAGATTTAGGTCTAGATCTAGAGATAATATGCCACCAAACGGCAGGTCTGATTATGACGGGCATCTGTGCTGTGGCTAAGTCTGTGATAGATTTTAATTTAGAGCCTGTGCTGTGGCCCTGTGGCGAAGAGGCAAAGACATTAGAATTATGTCAGGTGTGTGTGTTTTAGTAAGATCTATCTAGATCTAGACGAGAATAAAATCACTATGTCACCTAAACGGCGAGCCATTGAACGAATGACACATGGGGCTAAGCGTACTATCTCTTTTAAATGAAACAGTCTAAAACAATTAACAACAAACTCATTGACATGATGTCGTCTACACCCAAAGTCTATCAGTCTATAAATAATAATGATAATAGCTAGCATTTGTATAGCGCAAATCCCCGCTCAACAGCAAGCTCTATGCGCTTCACAATCTATACTATTACCCAAGCAGACCTGAAAGCATTCTAAAACAAGCTCAACTTCCTGGGAAGCATACAGTGCAAACAGCCATTTATAGGCGCTAAAATACTAAAATACTGACAAGATCTTTCGCTGTCTATGGCCTGGGTGAAGTGAGGAAAATTCATGTAAAGTGCCTTTCCCAAGGGCACAACGTTGGGCCCACGCTCGAACCCTCGTTACGAGTCCGGTAGCCTATCCACTAGGCCACCGACGCCACACAATGCTGCACTCAACGAGGACGATGCAACCCACTATCCTGAGGAATTCCTCCATTAAATTGGCCGGCCTTCTGAAATTAAAGACTGGTACGCCCGTAATGGTCCTCCGATCTCTTAACTCACCAAAATTAATGAATTGTACAAGATGTGTTGTAACAAGCCAAGCGAAACGTCGTCGGGGTTGAATTTTTTTCTGGACCATACAAGCATGAAAAACACTGGATTCCTCGAATTATACTTCAACCAAAAGATAGTGGACTACCTTTTATATTCCAACCAAAACAATTTCCCCTCAGACCTTGCTTTGCCATTGCAATTAATAAAGCTTAGGGGAGTCTCTTCGTACAGTTGGCTTAGAGATCTCACAAGAACAGTATTTTCAAATGGAATGTTGTAAGTCGCCATATCTCGAATTGGAGATAAAGATGCTGTTCACATCTTGGCACCCAACAGGCAAACCAGGACTATATACATCAATCTTAGGTGAGTTTCACTTTTGAAAATTCATTTTTTTTCTCAGGTATAGAATAGAACCATTCCTGTTTTAATCAAATAACTGTTTAAATTAATGCAGTATTTCAATTTTTATTTACACTGCAATATTAATTTTTGTCTAGAAAACATTATTTCGGGTACGCAGGCTAGTTTACTATAAAACGAACTCCTTTTAAATTGTGTTTTATGCGAATAGCTCTGTATGTTTGTGCTTGAGCGTATGTGTGTCTGTGTGTCTGTTTTTGTGTGTATATGTGTGTAAGTGAATGTGTCTGTGTGTGTTTGTATTTGTGTGAGTACTTGTGTGTGTGTGTGTGTGTGTGTGTGTGTGTGTGTGTGTGTGTGTGTGTGTGTTTGTCGGCGTGGGTGTGGGTGTGGATGTGGGGGTAGTTGGCTTGAAAGTTTTTGTTTGATATAATATTCACCTTCTTATTTCCATTGGTTACCTGTGCATTACGCCTCGAAGGATAGAAGGTCATAGACAGTGAATGAAGACCACTTCAAATAAAAGAGGAAATACTTGAGTTCTTGAAGATGTGTGACATTTACATTTTTAATATGCAGCCTCTTCTCTCAGACAAAAGCATCTCAAAACTGCATTTGTGAATAGTTCTTGTGTTTAATAGATAGATAGACAGAAAGACAGACAGACAGACGGACAGATATATCGATAGATAGATAGATATATCGATAGATAGATAGATAGATAGATAGATAGATAGATAGATAGATAGATAGATAGATAGATAGATAGATAGATAGATAAATAAACACACGACACCTTTACATAATATCCACAATAGTGTAGTATGGCAGTCTATATTTTTATAGTCACTGAATTGATAAGCAGCCGTACTGATACATGTATCAAAAGAGATTGATCTAGTTATAGATTATATGGCCAACACTAATTAACAAAAGGTGCACATAAAAGAATTTGGTTGATTGCCAAATTTCCAAATAGATAGACAAATGAAAATAGATAAATACTCGGGGAAATCTAGAAAGCTAAACTGGATAGATGAATAAGCAGTCTTGCTGGTAAATAATTACTGAGTACCCGTACGTTTAAAATTAAGCATATGTTTTGCCGCACTTGCAGCACGAATAGGACATAGAAGTGCCAAAGTTCAGAGGTGTTACTAGACAGAAAAAGAAAACAAAATGGGGAGGAGAGATGAGGTCGACAGATGTTTAATTTTAATAGGAAAGAAGGAGCAAACTACACCAGACCACCACCAGCCAACTACCCAGCTACCGAGTAAATCAGTTGATCAAAATACTACACTCTCTTCGCGTGGGTGGTTGGCGGGTGCTCTGGTGTGGTTTGCTTCTTCTTTCCTATCAAAGATCTATCGTCCGTATCTCCCCTTCTTCTTTTTTATGTTTGTTACTCTTGTAACACCTCTAATCTTCGGGCGCTCGTATGACCTTATGCAGTTGCGAGCGCCGTAAAACCTCTTCTACAAATATAACTCTCTTCGTCTAAGTCCTCGTAGTTGGACAAGTCGCAGTTCCAGAGATCGATGCCAGTGAGTGGCCGAGCGTGGGTGACAGAGGCCCCGTGAAGCGTTTGGGGGGGGGGGGGGGAGGACGTGCTGGTGGGATGTTGGTTATATCGTGAGTCTCTGGCGAACGCTCTCACAACGTGAGCGAAACAGGACAGAGAGAAGGACAGCGCCGCAGCTCTGTGAGGCAGTCTCGTCGTGTGGATAAAGTGTTGGTTGTTTATTTGTTATAACAGTAACCGTCTTCTTTATGAAAGAAGAGTGAGTACCTTTATCAAAACCTCTGAGTGAGCCCGCCAGTTGTTGAGGAGGCTCTACCGACTTGTAATCGGTGAATACCTCGAGGTTACCAGGGTAGGTTATGTCGGATGTTGAAAAATGTTTTTAAAAACTTGGAGGAAACGTTTTCTAAATGTCCTTCAATTTCCTCTCTCTTGTTCTCTCTGTCTCTCTCTCTTATTTCTTCTTCTTCTTCTTCTTCTCTCTCTCTCCCTCTCTCTCTCTCTCTCTCTCTCTCTCTCTCTCTCTCTCTCTCTTTCTCTCTCTATCTATCTCTCGTCTCTTTCTCATCTCTGTCTACTTCTTCTTTTTCTTCTTCTTCTTCTTCTTCTTCTTCTTCTTCTTCTTCTTCTTCTTCTTCTTCTTCTTCTTCTTCTTCTTCTTCTTCTTCTTCTTCTTCTTCTTCTTCTTCTTCTTCTTCTTCTTCTCTTCTTTTCTCTCTCTCTCTCTCTCTCTCTCTCTCTCTCTCTCTCTCTCTCTCTCTCTCTCTCTCTCTCTCTCTCTCTCCCTCTAGCTATCACTCACCGTCTCTGTTTCTCCGTTCTCACCTCTTTTTCTATACTGTTTCTCTTTTTTTTTCTTTCGCCTAGTTACTTACGCTTTCATCTACTATCCTAAAACTCTATAAATCCTGTATATCATTTGTATTGATAGAAAAGACCAGAGTCTGATCCAATGCCCTCTTTCTTCTATCTATCTATCTATTTATCTATCTATCTATCTATCTATCTATCTATCTATCTATCTATCTATCTATCTATCCATCTATCTATCTATCTATTCACCTACACAAACACACTCACACTCACACACACATACACACATACACACACACACACACACACAATAAATATATTCTGCAAGAATAAAAACAAATTTCCACCGAATGTTCGCAACACCCCACTCCCCACCCCACCCACCCCGTTTTTTAAAAACATTTATGTCTCTGTTGATATATCACATCCATTTCCTGGACATGCACCTACTTCTGTTGACCCGTCAGACCAGAAATACAACAAAACAAAGTTACATAATATTTCATAACTGCGCAAGTCATTTTGTAGTGATCAGCAAAATCTGTGACAAAGATGAGATGCTCGCTTCTTTCCCGGAGCATCTAAACAGCGTATTACCTGAATGTAATACAAGCTGTTTTTTTCTGCCTTTTGAATTATTTTTTGGTTCAGAGAATTAATAAAGCTGGACTTTAATCACTACCCTTTAGCACGCAAAACACTAATACTTTGATCGTTCACCGTCCTGTCCTTTATTTGTCATTAATTTTTTTTTATTGTACAGCTGATGGTTGCAGTATTATTGCAACAATCAACAATTAAAAAAAAAATCTTGACTTTAAAAAGAACAGAAACCTTGTATAAAATGCCGAGAGATGCAAATCCTACCTTTCTGATCGTGACGAGGATGTCCCTTTTTAATTAAGAAGACTTAGATGTCGACATATTCCTTGGAGTCCGGACCTTGCGTGGCTTATTACCGTGGGAGAAAAGGAGTGAGGGGGGGGGGTATCATCAACTCTCCTTGCCAAAGCAAAGCACATTAAAACACGAATTAAACAGATACATCTGTCTGTCTGTCTGTTTGTCTTTATCAATCTGTCTGTCTCTTTCTCTCTCTCTCTCTCTCTCTCTCTCTCTCTCTCTCTCTCTCTCTCTCTCTCTCTCTCTCTCTCGCTCTCTCTCCAACGTTTTCTCTAGTAATTGTTCTTGTATTTTGTATTTTACCTCGCTTTTTTCAACATTTAGAATCTGAATATTGACCAACGACAATACCTTTCTTGGGTACACGCAACCAATGCCATAGATAGAGAAAGTGCCATTTAAAAATTTCAAAATTTGGGGATTAGTATTTTGCCCTAATGGCCAGTGTTATCTATAGGGCGGCACGGCTGATGAGACGACATGTACTAATAGTAGACAGCATTTGGTCGCTTTTAAGGACAAGGGGGCTATCCCGAAAAATGTTGTTTTGAGAAAATCGAAAGTAAAATTTTGGACCCTTGTTCAGTTACTTTAAAAGACAAGGAGAGTTTTCTCTTTAAATAAACAAATAAACAAACAAACAAACAAACAAACAAACAAATAAACAACAACAACAGCAGCAGCAGCAGCAACAACAACAACAACAACAACAACAAAAACAAGAAGGAAAACAAGAAAATTCGTTTTACTTCACTCCACCTCGGACGATGGAAACTTAAATTGTTTAACTCTTGCCTCGCTCCGCACCCGGCCTCATGAAACGGCCACACCCGCAGCGGTTTTCGACGTATTTGGAGGTTCAGGGCCAGATCCTGGGCCAGATCCCAGCTCGGGTGGAGCCCTTGAGGTGGACACGTAATCTTTTCCTCCACAGAGAAGAGTATAGCCAGATTTTAGAGCATTTTGGAGCTCCAGTATGAAAAAGGATTTTTTCGCTGCGCAACCAAACCCATCTGTTCACCTAATTCTTATCTAATAAGTATTTGATCTGATCATATCCTAACTGTACCATCATGTTGTAACTTTTTATATATTTATTATTTTTGTTATTTGTTTTGAACTGTTGAAAGTTGCCTTGTTCTGTGATTGTACTGGTTAGGAGATCGATTTTTACCTAGTTGGTATATTTTATTTTCACTTGTTCGGATTTGGGCACAGACTACCATTGTCGACGCATGCCCTTTGAAATCTAACATAACGATTCCTGCTATGCCACTGGACCTGTGTATATTATTATGAAACCATTTTTGACAACTTGCATTAATATGGCGTAACACTTTCTTCATCTCTCTCGTGTCCTGTCTTTTGGTTTAAAATAAAAGTTCTGCGGTGCTTGCAAGTGCCTACGGCCATATTATGTTGACGCATTGCCCCATCTATGGCGGCAAAAACGAAGGAAAAAAATTAAAAAGAAAAAAGAAAAACATAGAATTTGCATCACCAGCGTTGATTGGGGTTATCTTTCAGAGAACACCGAGAACAAGACCACTGTTACGTAGCTCCATTTGCTGTTATTCTCTTCTCCATAATATCAATGTCCCCCCAAAAAAAAGGTTACATTATCCTTCCGCTCAAGGTCTCCCATATCCCCAGCTGTAACAATGTGATTAAATAATGCTGTCTACAAAAGAAGATTAGTCGCTCCATTCTCTATTTTTCCCTTTCTAATTCAGACCGCTAAGCGTGTGAGAATCATCCAGCGAATAATTGTTTCGAGGTCTTCTTTCACATATGCCTCCTCTGTTGACATGGCTGGGGTAAATCTCACTGCTAGTTTTATCGACATATCAACGGGTCTGCTATTTATTTTTTTGTTTGTTTGTTTAGTCGAAGGGTTCAGGTTAAAATTACCAGACAGCTGCACAACAAAGAAAGTGTTAGATTGCAATCAACAGGTTATGAAATCAAGGGGAAGGCCATGGAACATGGAGAGGAGTCACAGAGAATGCTGTACAAAAATGTGAGAAGACAAGGAATAATATTATCAAGATAAGGTCAGGATAAGGAAAGTTGGAAAGTGTTTGTTCGTGGCCTGTACCCTGATGCAGGGTGCGAAATGCAGTAACGATGATGGTGATTTTCTACTTTATCCATCAGTGGCAGATGGCATCTGCAAATCTATTTCTTTTAATTTTTTTTATAAAAGCTCTCAGAAATCTTTCCAAGACTGTTAGTTTTAAAGGTGTCCTGGTCAAGTGGTAAGTAGTAATAATATGAAGATTTCCGGTTTTGTCAGGCATGGCGGGGAAATGTCCTCCACTTTATTTGCCTCTGTTCGACAAGCTACGGGTGAGGTCTGTGCAATAGGTGCGAAAAGAATAATAATATTAACAGAGTTCACCGAAAACGCTTTAACTTAACCATGTATTGCCCCCCTCCCCCACCTTCACCCCTTCCGCAGAAGAACGAAAGTGTTTTTCAATATTAAGGCGACAGCAGCGGGAGTTTACTAAGCGCTCGTAAAAAGTGTTGTGGGGGATGTATGGCTAAAATAGAACTTTAAACTAACTTTATTTAATGTGTGTTAATTCTATCAGTTTTGAAGAAGAAAATTTCGTTGAAGAGCTCACACAGGGTTTGGATGAGTCTCAACGAAGGGTTACCAATTCTACAATGTAGATAGGACTACTATTTCTGTGAAACGCAATGGGTGATATTAGGACGGTCTGGGGAAATGTATAGTCCCGCTTTCCACGAACTGATAGCGTAGCTCATGCTTTATTTCGTACCAAAATCTCTCGGGATTAGGGTTGAGAGCTATCTTTTACAGGTCTAATTCAACACCAGCCCCCCCCCCTTTCCAAACATGTTTTAGAAAGTAAAATTTGTCTTTTGCACGTCGTGACGTCACAGATACCCCCAGTTTGGCCCCTCAGAGACTGGAGACCCTAAAAGTTCATCGCTGGTCATTGCAAGTTTCGAATGGAAGACTGAACTAGATTGTTACCCTTTCATTTTTACTCTTTCAATCGTAAGCTGGTCTGCCCACCACGTTCCAATGTAATAAGTATAGAACAAAAGAGCACCGCAGTATGCCTCTAATACGTCCAATATGTGTTTATGTGGTGTTAAAATCACCCCCACCCCCAAAGAAACGAGTGGGACCCTGGCATTAGAAGGCTTTGCATTTGATTAAAATGGCAAACGAGTCTATTTTTAGATTATTGTCATCGCCGTTTTAATTCTTTCCCAAGTTCTGTTACTCTCGTTAATGAAAATGATGCATTCCATCGTATGCTCATAACCTTTTCAAATACTGTTTCTTCGGCAGCTGTTATTTTCCTTGGTTTCTATATATTCCACTAATTAAAGTTCTAATCTTGCATTGCTAATACAAGTGTCGTATCTTGCAATGATCAGTTAATTTCCCACGAGACATTTGCACAGCGGAATCAGAAAAACAACGTCTTTGGGAAAACCTCGTTGAAACAGTGTTACAGCACACATCGTTCAAGAAAAAATTACAACCAATCCATACGTGTGGGAAACATATATTTTCAACAATGCTCTGTCCAGGATTGACGGGATTGATACCTTTATTGCTGTTTTGGTTTTATAAAATAGATTACAAAGGTC